AGCCACCACCGGTGGAGACGAGGTCAGGGTGCTTGCTCAGGTCGCACAGCTTCAGCTGCTGCTGCGGCGTCTGGCTGGTGGAGAGGCGCCAGGGCTCCGACAGCACCTGCCCGGAGCAGGCGTCGGTGCCTCCGGCCAAGCACCCCACTGTGCCCCAATGCACCCTGCTACGCCCCGCTGCACCCCATTGCGCCCCGCTGCAACCTGCTGCAGCCCGCTGCCCACAGGCGCACAGGGCCTGGCAGGTACGTGTGTGCTGGTGTCACCGTGTGGGGCGCGGGCGCTGCACACCCGCGTGGCACAGGCAACCGCATCCCCGCGCACAGCCCGGCTGCAGCGCCCGGCTGGCTGTGCCACGCGCAGGGTGATACGCACAGGGTGCTGTCGCTGTGGCATGCGGCGACACGCCAGCGATGGCAGCTGGACGCATGCGCCCGAGCCACATGCAGTGTGTGCTGCCCTTGCACACGCGTGTGCTGGTGACACACGTAAGGGGGGGGTGGCTTTCCCTCCGCATGCCCATGCAGCCCCCTGCATGCCACGTGTGTCACCATCACGGCGCGGTGCTGCGCGGTGCTGTGCAGTGCCGTGTGCCCCCGCGCCCACCTGGGCTCACCTGGGCCAGGAAGGGGGACTGCACCCCCAGGTAGCGGGACACCACGTAGAGGCAGAAGAGGTGCCGATCGATGCCGGCCCCGGTCATGGCCATGCGGTACATGTGCTGATGCTTCTCAGCCGCCAGCTTGAAGAGCTGCTGGCGCTCGGCTCGCTGCGGGGAGAGCTGGGCTCAGGGGCAAGGCAGGCTGGGGTCCCATCACCCCTAACCCGGCCACACCGGGTCCTCTGTGTGGGGTGAGTCCTCCCTGGTCCTGCCCGGGGGAGGCAACAGCTGCGCAGCTCTGGAGGAGACGGTTCCGAGGGATGGGGCTTCTCAGCCGCCAGCTTGAAGAGCTGCTGGCGCTCGGCTCGCTGCGGGGAGAGCTGGGCTCAGGGGCAAGGCAGGCTGGGGTCCCATCACCCCTAACCCGGCCACACCGGGTCCTCTGTGTGGGGTGAGTCCTCCCTGGTCCTGCCCGGGGGAGGCAACAGCTGCGCAGCTCTGGAGGAGACGGTTCCGAGGGATGGGGACCTCTCCCAGGGACAGGGATGTCCCCAAGGGATGGGCACCTCTCCCAGGGACAGGGATGTCCCCAAGGGATGGGGACCTCCACAGGGACAGGGACTCCCTCCAGAGATGGGCACTTTCTCTAGGGATGGGGACATCCCCAAGGACTACGCCAGAGATGGGGCCCTCCCTGAGAGATCTTCATGAGCGATGGGGACCTCCGTGAGGGACGGGGACCTCCGTGAGGGATGGGGACCTCCTCCGGAGATTGGCACTTTCTCCAGGGACAGGGTCATTCCCAAGGAATAGGAACATCTGCCAGAGATGGGGACCTCCCCAAGGGATGAGGACCGCTGTGAGGCACGGGGACCTCCCCTAGTGACAGGGACCTCTATGGGGGATGGGGACCTCCCCAGGGACCACCAGGGAGAGGGGAGGTGCTGGCTGAGCCAGGCCGTGCATAGACAGCCCCGACCCAGCTGGGGACAGCAGAACGGAGCCAAGGGCTCGGAGGGGAGGTCCGGGGAGGAGGGGTTGGGGGCTGGAGACCCAGACCCTGGCGCATTGCTCACGGTCTGCCGGGCATCCCCCATGCTGCGCACGAAGGCGGTGGACTCGGCGGTGCAGGACCTTACTGTCTCCGTCCGGCCCTCACGGAAGAGCCGTGTCATGGAGGCCTCGTAGGTGAGGCAGAAGCAGCCCTTGTCCTGCGGAGAGGCCAAGTCAGACCGGGGCGTGCCCGGAGAATGCTGTCCCCTCCCCATCCCCGTCGCCGTCGCCGTCCCCATCCCCGTCCCTGTCCCCATCCCCATCCCCGTCCCGTCCAGGGCAGCTCACGCGGAAGTGGGCGAGCTGCAGGGAGATCTGGATGAAGGCGTCGGGGCTGGTCCGGCACTTCTTGATCAGCCCCTTCCCAAAGTCGGAGAACTGGAAGCAGCAGAAGTCCACGTCGTCGGCCAGCGCCTTGGCCAGGTGGTACGAGCCCTCGATGGTGGCACGGCACTGCGGAGAGGCGCAGCCGTGGCGGACAGGGTGCGCGGCACCAGCCTCCAGCCCCCCCATCACCCGGGGTGGAGGGACGCTGACGGCTCAGCCCCAGCCCTGGGCACAGCCCAGGGACACTGGAGGGCCAATGGGTCCCCGGTGCACTGATGCCCCAGCGCCTTGGCCAGGTGGTACGAGCCCTCGATGGTGGCACGGCACTGCGGAGAGGCGCAGCCGTGGCGGACAGGGTGCGCGGCACCAGCCTCCAGCCCCCCCATCACCCGGGGTGGAGGGACGCTGACGGCTCAGCCCCAGCCCTGGGCACAGCCCAGGGACACTGGAGGGCCAATGGGTCCCCGGTGCACTGATGCCGTGGGGCGCAGGGGGTGGCCGGGGTGCAGAGAGCCCACCCCGAAGCTGTGGGGTGCAGGGGTCTGACTGGGGTGCAGAGAGGCCATCCTGAAGCTGTGGGGCGCAGGGGGTAGCCGGGGTGCAGAGAGCCCAC